CAAAACAAATTTTGCTTCCTGTCTAGATATGCTTCAAAGCTTGAAATCTTTTTAAGCAACTCTGTTTTCTCAAAAGTGCTGTCTGGCCATAAGAACCATGGAGACAACAGACCCCCACCTTGCTCTTCCCTAACACCCCAATAAATCTCTCAGAGTATCAGAGGATAAATGGAATAGAATTTTCATGAATACTTGAATCAACCTAGGGAAATTGTGAAATGTTTATTCCATGGCAGACTAAAATTGCACATTTTCTATCAAGATAGAAAATAAGAACAAAGACTCAAATAGCCAATCCCTCGAACTGCCATTTTAGTCACAGTCTGCCTGGGTTTTTGGCTGTGTTACAAAATGAAATAAATCCCCTTATAATCCCTCACACTGGCTCCAAAAAAGTATTTTCACAAGCACCAGAGCAGACCCTTTGGGCATTTCTTCCTATAAAGGCTCATCTCCTCTCACAACCTCCTTCTATCCACCCAACCCCCACAAAATGGTGAACTGAAATTGTTCTGGTGCCAGTTATGTCAGATGGGAGGAAGAGAAGGGAAATACAGGCCAATAGAAATCCAAACAGAAGCTCCCCCTTCACAAGCTCAACAGCCTCCCCAAACTCTTCAGAATCCTTTCCACATAACTCATGTTCGCTGGTTTCTTCTTCCATGTAACACTGAGCTTCCCATTTACTGCCTGGCAACATTCGCTTGAATCATCATTACTTAGCACTTCACATAGTCTGTAGGGTCTTTGAGCAGCAGGACCCTGCTCCTTACCCCCCACCCCATGTGTAGTTCAGTATGACTTCACATAACACTCTATAAATATTTGTCGAATGACTGAATGAAGCTGAATCTGATATTTGCCAACTCTGATAAAATAGAGGAAATCAATGTCAGCTTTTCCAGCTAGATAGGGAAATAGGACAGTTATATAAAATGATCTGAAGGAAAAATTGCATCCAACACTTTACTTTGAGGTCTCTGAAGGAGGCTGTTATAACAATGGACTATAAATACAGGGTGAATGCTGTATCTGTAAAGAAGCAATTCTAACAGTGGTCTGGAAGAGCCAAGAAAATCCAGCTTCTTTTCCCAGAGTATATACACAGGTGCGCTGTGTGGAATGAAATCCACTTAACTTGATTTTATGGACAGTGATTCATGCAAACTCAGTTCCAAACTGCTCAGCACTGCTCAGTTAAATAAATTACAGCAAGTGTAAGCTATCCAGCAGTAAAGGCAAAACCAGAAAATGAACTTGAGGTTGAGGATTGAAATTTTAGTAGTGCCCGGTTTGCTTGAATCATCTTTCTCCTGGGTTCTGAAGGGATGCTAAGCAATCTTCAAGATCAAAGCCCTGATTTGACTGATGGGAAGCTGAGACCTAGGAAGAATCAAATATTTGTCCAAAGTCATTTCAAGACTTTGAGAATACTAGCAGAATCAGGGTTATTGGGTCTCAAGTCAGAGTTTTTTGATTCATCCAGGTCCTGAATATCTTATTCACAGCCACAGTGCCATACACATCCAAGAGGTTCAATCTTGGGGTAGCCAGAGTCAGAGTTAGGGAGGAGGAGAAAGATCAAAGAAGGCCCTGGAGGATGAAAACCCATGTGTTTAGGGATGGAAAGAGATTGCTCCGAGCAGCCCTTCCTAGAACCTCAGTTTTCCCGCTCCTACAAGGAGGCCAGACAATCAGGCCCATGCTTTGGCCTCCCCTCTGTTACATGTCACAAGTCTTCCACAGTGCAACTGGTTCTCTGTAGTGGCGCTCTCTGTGGGTCTTCGGGGCTTGGGCATCACTGGATATAGAGAACATTGGCAGGGATGAGTTCACCTTATTAAGTCTTTAGCACCTTTGGGCTTGAGTATACAGGAGGACTATACTTGGGGTGTTCATGAGATAAGAGTACATCCTTTTAATAAAGTATCCTAAAGTAACTTGAATTTCTTTTTGTTCCTTGCAACCTAGAAAATCTTATGCAAAATAAAGGATCTAAGTAACTGGGACAAGGGATAGATCATTTAAGGTTTGGCAATTTTAAAGCATGCCTACAAATTTTTGACAGCTATCTCATCAAAAAGTGAGGTTTTGGTCCTTTCCCCTTGATTTTGAGCAAGTTTCTAACTCTGTTCAGCAAGGGCTGAACATGCATTGCAGGGATCAGTCATAAAGGGGCAGGAAGCTTTTACCTCCTCCTTGGAGTGTAAAGTTTGACCACTGTGATGCCAGCATACACATGGAAAGGCTACATATTGCTGTCAACAGTCCCTGATGAGCCCAGCCCAGGCACCAGGCAGATATGAATAGAGAAACTTCCAGATAACTCCACCCTGTCATTCAATAAGTCATCACACCCTGGAGATAAAAGTTTGGCAGCCTCCTCTCCTAATAAAATAACATTTTTCTGATTTGAGCTATTTGGCTCATCAACCTTTGTCTTATTCTAAATTTAATCCTGAATAAACATGAAAAAGTATACAACCTCATTAATAGTCAAGTACAAGCAAATCAAAACTACACTGTGAGACAATAACACATGTACCAAAATAGCTAAAATTAAAAAAGACAGTATCAAGTGGTGGTGAGGAAAGGGTGCATTGGTAACTTAAATGTGCTAAATTGAAGTTCCAAAAATTCACAACCATGTGCACAACCCAGTAGCCAGATAACACTCAACTGAAATGCATGTGCTTATGCACTAAAAGACACAGTAGGAATGTTTGTGGCAGCCATATTCAGAATAGCCACAGACTGCAAAGAACCCGAATATCCATTTATAGTAAAACTGAGCACTGTGATGTGTTATACAGTGGAATACTGGAAAGTATGAAATGAATGAGCTACAATTAATAACGTAGAACAAAGGAAGCCAGATACACACACACACACACACACATACATACATTGCCCCACTTATATACATACTTATTATATAGCTCCATGTACATAAAGTGTGAGCACCTAAAACTAAACTGTTGTCTTCAGTAGGGAGAGTGGCTAGTTTGGGGAGGAGAGAGGGCATAGTAATTCAGGAAGGGAAATTATGCAGGAAGAGGACTGTTCTTGATCTTGACGGTGATCACACAGTACTTTATATAAAATACCTCACTGAGCTGTACACTTATAATTTGTGCACTTTTATGCAAAAGTGATATTCCTTGCAATAAAAAATGTAATCAAATAAATTTAAGTTGGATCATATAATAAGGCCTGACTTTAGAGCACCTTCTGGGAGTTACTGCCTAACACACTGAAGTTAACTGTCCTTTGTAATTCCTCTGGGGACAAGAAGGTGTCCCTCTGAGGGTGGCCAGAAGTCCTAGGGGCCATAGGAGGAGGCACAAACACAGCCCAGCTCTTGAAGGGAAGGCACAATCGAGGAGCTACTCATTCTGGCAGAAACCCCAGTCAGGGAATTTCTGCGTGGAGCCCAACCCAGGTGAGAGACCCACCGGATGAGCACTGAGGACTCATGGGAGCCCCTCCCTCTGCCTGCCTTGGAGATAGGCAAGCATTTAAACTGAACAAAGCCCCTGTCAACCCCCAGTGAAGGAGCTGTTTGTTTCCAAAGGCCTGATGGAACAACTAACTGTAAGCAAGGGAGAGGAAATTACACAATGGATGTTGAAATGTGGGCTTGTTGAAAAGTTGTCACTCGGGTAATGAATTGCCCTATTTCCTGTTTTTTTTCTTTTTTTTCTTTTTTGCCAAAGTTAAATGCTGGGCATAATTAGCTAGTAAAAAAGCAAGTTTGGCAGCAGAACAAAAATAGCACATTTTGGGAGTCCAGGCCAATTAAAATTGTTTATGCAGCCATTTAGCAATATTTTTCTCCAAACTATTATGACCAGGATATATGCAGCAGGAGACTGCAAGGCAAGTTCCTCAGAAGAAAAATGGCCCACACACTGATGCTTTAAGCAGCCTGCTGTTCTCAGGGGGTTTTATAATAAGAATGAACACTTCCATCCTCCTGAACTCCCTGGGCCTCCTCGGCTTCTTGAGAACAGTATCACTCACCTCGGTGGCAGGCAGCTGTTGAAGAGAAGCTGCACCCTGCTAATGTTCCGATTAGCCACGCTCCCCTGTGTTAGAGAGGCCAGCAACCATGGTCTAGCTGCCCGATACACTCATTGAAATCATCTGGCTGATGCTATCATCAGACTGCGTGTGTGAAACATTTTTGTTAATAACTGGACGGTCTGGCTGGTGTCGGGATTAGTTGCTAGAACGCAGCATAATTGCCCTTGGCAAAGTTGGTCGTGACTCGTGACTCCAGCGCCTCCTGTCTGTGCTGTGTCCAGCACTTTTCTGGGTCTCGGAGGGTCTTCCAGCTCAAGGGCTCAGGTTACATTTTCTTTCCCTCTCTGGCTGCCCAGTAAAACGTGCCACCAAATCCTTCACGCACAGTAGGATGGAATGAACTGACAGCTTTCCATGTAATAGACCACAAACTGATGTGTTAGAGAGATGGCAACTTCTAGCTAAAGGATAAAGATTTGATTAGGAACTTCAGGCATTATGCACCTGAAGGGAGGGATGGAGTGAACATTTTGGAGGCGCCTTCTCAGCATCCTAAGATTTCACCCAGGGGAAATAACCTGTTTTACTTAATCAGCCAAGTTCACTGAACCCTCTGTCAGCTGAGAGGAGAAAAATCACTCAGCCATAGGCACTGCCCCAGAAGCTCCAGAACAGCTTGGCCACCTGCTCACCAGAGTTCTGGATGGCAACTCATAGGCCTCAGAGGCATCAGTGTGAACAGCAGTCATCTGGGAGGCTGATGGTAAAAGGCTCTCACCTTTTATCGTCACTGGATTGGACAGGGATATTCAAATGCAGAAGAGCCCTCTCCTTCCTCCCTCCCTGTTCACAAGCTGTTCATTTTTCACATTCATCCATTCATGCCTTAGTTCACAGATAAGTAGTATCAAAAAAATGTTTTTAACTTGAGATGAAGAACTCCCCTTGACTTGACCCCAGCCTGGCTGTCTCACCTGGTCTCTGACTGGTCATCTTCCTGAGTTTGCCAGGACCTGTTGACCCAGAAGCACACCCTGTACTCTGCTCCTGTTGTGCTGTGTTCAGAATCCATTCTTTGCATGTGCTTCTTTTTCTCCATGTAGCCAAAGTTCTCCAGGTGTATGAGCTCACCCTGAACCCCTCTTACCACGAAGCCATCATGCATCACCGCGGTTCTTAGACACCTGAAGTCCTACAGCATTTATTCCCTCCACTTCATGTGGCCTTATTCTAGAATTGCCTTTGATGTGTCTGGGTGCTGTGAAATGTTTTCTCTCTGGTGAGAAAGTAAAGCATGGCTTAAACACTTTCTCTGGCCTGTGAACATTCAGATCAAGAGGGAATGACCAGTCAGCAGTTTCCAAGTCATAACTAAGTGAAGTTCCTGACAATCGTCCTGCCCCTGGGTCCCCACAGGAATTTCCTGTCAACTGCTCCACCCTCAGCCTTCCATTTCCTCTCCCAGGCTTCAACTCTGAATCATGAGTGTCCTCACCAGCCCTTCCATTCCCTCTTTCTCCCCTCCCCACACTAAGCAGTACGAGGCTTCTATGAGAACACCTTATGAGGTCAATCTACCACCCCAGAAGTGGCTCCCAGAGAGTTTGTTCAGAACCTACAAGTAGGCACAACCCAGTGGCTGCAACCCTTGTAACGGGTCAAGGCCAACCAGCCTTGGAAAGATCAGCAGCTGCCTGATGACCATCCATCCTTTCAGCCAACAAACATTTTCTGAGCATCTACTGTGTGCTACACCCTGTGCTGGGCCCCGCGGAACAGCAGTGAACAGATCCCAGCCCTCACCCTCCTTCAAGGAGCTAGCATTTTAGAGGTGACCCCAGCGAGTAAACAAGCAGTTACAGTACAAGTTTTGTAAGATGGTGCTGGGAGAGGTTTAAAGGATCCCACAGGATGAAGTTCAGTTCTGTTATTAGTATCTGCTGAGAAGCAGGGTCCACGCCCAAGTCATCAAAAATCCCAAGTTGTTCCTTTTACCTGTGAAGCTTAGCAACACTCTTTTGAAAGAAGCTGGCCTTAACACTGTATGTGATTCTTCAGCATTTGTTTTATTTCAAGGCAATGATTAGTTCATACCTCTAGCAGTCCACAAGTGCTTTACCTTTGCCTAGCATTTAACATTATGCTACAAAGGCACAATTTACAAGAGGTAAGCTATGGAAGCAATCCAGACGCCCCACAATAGATGACTGGATCAAGAAAACAGGATATTTACACAATGGAATATTACTCAGCAATCAAAAAGGATAAATCCATGCCCTTCACAGCAACATGGATGGAGCTGGAAGGGATTATGTTCAGCAAAATAAGCCAGAAAGAGAAAGAAAAACATCAAATGGTCTCACTTATAGGAGGAATGTAAAGAAAAAACAGAATCAGAAAAAAAGTAACTATAGTAAAGTAAAAATCAAAATCATCAGGCAACTGTAGATCAGAGACACTGTGTAGAGGACGAGGTGGGAGAAGGGCCAGGACAGGGGAGGGAAAAGCACAAGGGACTATGGTGATGGTGCATGGTTGAATTGGTGCTGGGAATTTCAGAGGAAAACCATACATTGGACAGCAATGAAGGATGATATAATGGATATATCTTAAAAGTAATAACATTTTATACCGGATGGTTTCACTCATAGCAGGAGTATAATGGACCAGGCGAGAAAATAACAAAAATAATGAACAACCATATACCAGAGATATTTTGCGGGGGTGGAGTGGGGAATGGGATCAAAAACGGGGGGGTGGGGAAAATTCTCGGGATTATGGTGATGGCACACGGGTGACTTGGTGATGGGAAACCCGCGGGGATTACACTTGAGATGGAAAAAAATATATACAAAATTATGTAAAAATAAACTGTTATAAAAAAAGTAATAATAACATTTTAAAAATAAATAAAATTATGCTGTACAGGCAATAATTGAAGCATGAGTGGCTCTAGCTATCACTTACAGAATGTGTGCCTAGTGCCAGGCACTTTTCACAACATTGGTAGAGAAACCTGAACACCAGAGAGCCTCTGAATTATGCACTGGGTCCATAGCACCTCCTGGTTACTCCAGCCTCAGATATCTGCCCACCTAGTGAAATTCCATTATTTTTTGCCGGACCCACATCCATTCTTTTCTCTTCCCACCTCTCATTAGAGGCAGACCACTACATGCCCCACCCTCCTGTGGCCAAACGGAAGGCAAGTGACCCAGACTAAACCAGCTGACGTTCCCTCCCTTGAACTTGACTCTTCAGCTTGGCTGCTGTTCTTCTAGTCTCACTGCTGAGGCCTAAAGTGACTTCCCATTAAGTCCTGCTTTGCTTATTCACCCCAATTGATTTCTGTTGCTTGCAACCAAAGACCTAGAACTAAAACTGTCATTAATTACAACTTGGCAAGGTCTATAACTGATTTGCTCTGCAGAGAGTTATACTGTTTGAAACTTGCAAACTCTGCTCAGCACTTTGTGGGAGGAGAGAATGAGGTGCCAGGACCATGGACCATGGACCGTGAGATGTTAGAGAAAGGAACTGCCTGGCAAACAGCAAACATGCCAGATGAACACTTTCAGCAAAACAAGGCTTGCCTGAAAACTATTGATTCTAGGCCCACTAATGGTTCAGGCTGCGAGGCTGGGTGTGACAGCATTGCCTCACTCCACGCAGTGACACGCTGCCAAGGCAGGCCTATTTTCCAGTGTCAGCAGGGAAATGGGAGACTATTAAGGAAGCACCTTATCAGGAACTGAGCTCAGTGTCACTGGGGAGGTGGAGGCAATTAGCATGATGGAAGCCATGCCATAGCCTCAGCTCCCAGTCAGGTGTGGGAGAAATTAGTAGGAAGCCTCTTACCTGTCAGGTCTGCACAGGCCTCAGTAGGGAGAGGGTCCTGCACGAAGGCTCATGCTCCCTTTTCTCTCATGGGAGAGATTCCCCACCATGTCTAGTTGTCTTTTGGTCTGTTCTCTACATGCAGAATTGCTGGGGGTGGTCTCTGTCCACCTGACCCCGCCCCAATTGCAAAAGCATGACAACTTGAATGATGCCTTCCTTATTTACTAAGTCAAACAAGGCATGTGGTTACAAGTCCCAGCTTTAGAGCCTGGAATGTCTGGGACAAATGGGTAAATAAGACACACTGTCTTTCTAGAATTTTGGAGGGAGCTACAAATATGTGTGTGAAGGGCCTTCTTTTGAAGAAACTCACACAAGTCTCTCTGCTTGTTTCCCATTCCAAGAACACGTGGTGTAAAGGAAACAGATATGGCCTGTAAGCTGACAGAACCAGTTCCTGCTCTGTGTTGCCTGTGTGACTTCAGAAAAATCCCTTTGAGCTTTGGTTTTCTCATCTACAAAATAGATGGTCTCTGAGTTTGTCTGGGTCCTCCAAGAAGCAGATGCCAAGAGGGGTTGGATTGGAAGGGTGTCCTGAGGAGAAATAGCTATGAGAGAATATGAGAAGGAAGTTGAGAAAGGCTGGGAGATTCCTCAGGTCAGAAGGCAAGTCTGACTCTAAGAAGACAGGGAAGGAAGATTACATGGAAGTATCTTAGAATGCCCTAAATCTAAGGAAGCTTCCTCAAGACCATCAGGGTGACCTCGAACCAACAGCTATGAGAGGAGTCAATGTTTCCCAGGAGCAGTTCAGCCCTAGGGTCTTGCTTGGCAATGCACTTTCATCTGGGAGCAGGAGTGCAAAGGGTGACCTCAGAACAAGCACAGCCCAGCCAGGGATTTAGAGTGAGTAGCTGGGGTCTCCTGTCGTTGCAGGTCTGTAAGATGCATGCTTTGGGCCACAACCCTCTCCAAGCACACTGTGCGCTCTGTTGTCCCAAGTTCTAAGAACCCTGGAGTTCCACTGGCAGACGGAGTCCCATGTCGACCCCAGGGCGTCTGGCGGGGCACTGCCAGACTGACCTCCTGATGGGGCTGTGCATCGCAGCTGCTCCTGGGCTCTCCCCGAAGGCAAAGTTGGCAGGATGTTTATGTTCATTTGACACGTTGGGATCAAATGCTTCCTGCCTCTCCTATTTTTGGCCTTGCTTTGGTCTTCAGAGAAGGGAAGTGGGGGGGCTTCAGTTTTCCTGCTGTCATCTGTGTTTGAAGTGAAGCCAAACAAAAGGGGCCCTACCCTGATCACATCTGTGCTGGCTTTCCTGGTGCCCCTCAAGGCTGAGACCCTCGGTGCTCAAGTCTACACGTAGAAAGTTGTGTGTCTCTAAGTTCTGGATGTGTCTGGACTCAGAAAAAGCTGGATTTGAGTTTCTGTTTCACCACATCCTGGCAATGTAACTGGGCAAATGACCACTGGGGTGAGCCTGTCATTCTCTCCAGAAGGGGCTAGACTGACTTCTTAGGCTCATTGCGAGCATTAAATAAGTTAAAGCGCACTGACTTACGCTCAGTTAGGCACATAGTGCCTACTCAATAAATGACAATATTAGTGGTACTTACAAAATACCTACTCTTGGTACTATCATCATTGTCTACAGTGAGGAGAATAATACTAATATCCTTGCTGCTGTTTTAATTGTATTATTTTTTTTAAATTAATCATTGAATTTTCTTACATTGTTGTTTATTTGTTTGATTTCTTTCTCCCCTCAGATGTATTCCTCATGAACTCCCACCACAACATCACTTGTGTGAACTGTCACAGGGTCCCTTGTGTTCTTCCCACCCCCTTTCCTCACTCTCCCCATCTGTAAGGCTCAGATCTCAGACCTATAGTAGTCTATGAGTTTTGTCTTTTTTTTTTTTAACCGTTATCTGGTTTCCCTGTATTCCTCCTATCCGATATTTTTCTTTTTCCTTCTGATGTATTTCACTGAGCATGATTCCTTCATGTTGCTGCGAATGGCATGAACTTATCCTTTTGTTGGCTGACTAATATTCCACTGTGCGTATATATAACACATCTTCTTGATCCAGTCATTTGTTTGGGGGCATTTAGGTTGTCTTACGTAGTGCTGCAGTAAACATAGGAGTGTAGATTTTATTTTGAATTAACGTCTTTGGTGGCACTAATACCTTGACAATTTCTCCTATTGCCCAAAAATGTGTGGACAAGGACCAGAGCACAAGAAAGTCACCCTGACATGTGCTCCAGGCTGTGGGAATCGGGGAAGTTTGTCACAGACAGGTCTGGCTCACTCATTT